AAAGGCCTGTTTCTGCTGCGGAAATTACCTGACCATCTCCGATGAAAATTCAGCATTTGTGATGTACTTATTATAGGTAGACCGAAAGAAACCGAAAGTGAACGACAAGTAAAAAACGTTCTCGACATGAAGTTTATTGAATGAACATGTAGGACAGCCCAACCGGTGGTGTTTTGTTAACCAAAGTTAGTAGATGTTTCTGGGCCCAACATCAGATCTAGCAACAGCAAATACTTTGTCGAACCAATTTCAACAAACCGAACGCTACTAGTGACAGAACTGTTCGAGTCTGGCAGTTATCAGGTGATCCAATATTGCTAAGACCAAAACCTCTGAACTGACAAGATATGACAGTTGGAATCTGTCATGAAGATAGCCAGCTTCTGATTATTTACTGATCCAAACCTGTCAATTTAGTTTTGCAAGAACTCTTTGACTGTGATGCGCAGTTCGGCGGGATACAGCTCTTTTCAGCAACGACACCAGCGAATACAAGAAACAACTTTGGTTTGCATTCAATGTCAAGGCACTGGAGATTCCCTTCAGCGAAAGAGAACCACGGTGATTATTGCCTGTACCATGAATTGTTGATCCAAGACACAACTGCATCACTATATATATATATTCATATTTCTTTGACAGATGGAATTTTGACTGACAGAGAATGTTTTTGATCGTTGCTACACAAACTGAGTCTGCTGACAAGAAAGGACCCGACCATGGGTAACAGACGACGACATTCGCTATAGGACTCATGATCTTCCCTAGTTGAAAGCCATTCGCTGATCTCCGGAAATCTGAAATGGTCCGTAAAAAAGAATAAATCTGGAGGTACAACCGATGCAAGCGTTATGATGGCGCTAAGTACGACCAATCTAATTAACGCCTGTTTATGGCATCTCAGAGGCCATATGAAATCTGCGAAGGTCGATGCCAAACGAAGGATGCAAGGCGCATTTTCAGAACAATGGAGGATGACGGCACAGGTGTGCAGTAGATGAGCGAGTACCGAGGAGTTGTTACCATAAAGGTCTAAGGTAGGCACCTTCACACTAGAGAGCGAGATCACTGAGAAAAAGAACTGTTGACAATGCGGAGAAAACCGATTGGCCAACGGCAAGGGTTCCGCAAGACGATGGGCTCCAAACCTTCGAGTCTTCGTATTGGTGACCAGCTTCGTCAGCGCCAACGTGTTATTAAGAATGTCCGAAGCATCGTCGCCCGTCGAGTGCGTGTTTTTCTCTGCGCCCGGCTGGACATAGAAAGCAAGCTGGCGCGAGGTATTGGATAATTCGATCGCAGCATCGGCAAAAACTTTCAGAATCAGCTCCCTTTGCCGAATGCTCATATTTTTCAAATACAGATGATTCGCCAAGCATTCGCATACCTCGGAAGGCTTCATGACCAAAGAAGATACAAGACACCTGTGACGTACGACCGCAAAGTCGTCAAGGGCAAAACGATTCTCCAGATTAAGAAGGGTGCGGATAAGATCTTCGTACAGATCGCAGAAACCAGGAGAATTGCTGCGTATCAAATGGTTGATCGAGTGAAAGGCATCGTCGAAACTGTCGCCCTGTGTCGTGTCATACAATATTTGTATACAGTCGATGAGGTAGCGATGGTTCGATGCTGAGGAAGCACTGGTAGCCCCAACATTTTCCTTCTCCTCGTCTGGCATGTCGAATGGAACCAGGTCATCGTCGCTGTCGATAAGTTGCTGCACAGCAGTTTCGTCGTTCGGCACCTGCGTTTCCGCTTGGCAGACGTCAAAAATTTGGGTACATTCCGTCAGATCGGGATCCGTTTGGGGACCTTCGATTAAAGTTTTCAACTCCAGTGTCTCAGCATCGTCTTCGTAGTCGAACGCAAGCTTATCGGACGGAACGCCGATCCGATTGTTAATCGCTTCACCAATAACCATACCTCGTTTTCGCACGTTTGGTTCTATCGCTCGTAGGTGGTTGGTGAGACCCTAAATGTTCAGTGAATTCAGTTTGAGAAGGAATAAACAAGATTTACCTGTAGAGAGTTAGTTGTTACGGCTTCCAATACCTCGGATTCGAAGTGTTCAGGTTTCAGGTATCTGAGGCAAATCGCCATGCACCGCGAAATATAGTATTGCTGTTCCGAGCAAAGCAACATGAGGAAAGTCGAAGAACTCCAAACATTTACAAATTGCACGAAAACATCTACCAGCAATGCGAAGGACTGGGGCTGCAGGGACAGGTAGCCAACCACACACTCAGGTACGTCACAACTGCTATAGAAGCGGTAGAGCAAAAGTTTGTCGATTACAAGACGTTTGATTTGCGGATTCGTAAAAAACGAATTTCCGATGAGTTTTCGTAAGCCAGTCGGCTTTCGGACGGCTAACAGCAAACCGTAAATGACACCCTCCAACGCTAGAACAGGAACACCGGTGAACAACCGTTCAGCGATTCGACGCCACAAATGGTCTCTGTTGACGTGTGCCATTAAGCGAGGCAAAAGCTGACTAAGAAACACCTCAGAATAACCTTTAAGCTGCACTTTCCCAAGCAAAGAGCAATGAAATAAGAACACGGTGTCACTTGACCGAGACAGTCGTTCGCGAGCGGCGGCCAATGATTCGATCAACGCCAAAGCGATGGCCCTGTAGTACTTGCGGATGCACATCTCCCTTTGCTGCTCACCGTTCCACAGTCGACAAAGTTTGTCTGGAAACGAGGCTAAGGCCTGACAAAGAAGAAGCATGCTCTCTTGATCGTAAGTGCACTGGTCAGGGTCCAAAAAATTGATGAAGAGCTGAACGATTCTGCGCCTCAAGATCGAATCTAGTACGTTACACAGGTTGTTAGCCATCGGAAACGAAACCTTGTTCAAGTTGTTCCAAATGACCAGTGTGGCATCGAAACAAGTGGCCAGCATAAACAGGTCGTAAAAATACAATTGCTGCTCTTCGGCGGTCAAAAGGCTTAACAGTGACAACTTGGTATTGTTTACAACGGTTTCCAAGATCTGATAAGTAGCACTGTAGCGCGTATCACCGACAGACTTTTCACAGATCGCCGACTTGAGCTTGGTGAGGACCAAAACCAACTGAGATCGCGATTCAATCGAAGCATAATCGTCTAATAACGCGATCGTTTCATTCATCGCCATGCTTACAGTCTTAAAAAAGCAAAACTGACATTAAAAATTAAACTTCCCTTTGGACAAAATTTTGTCGCTTGTATTCGAAAGGGGATCACCCAAATTAACTCATACCAGCATGCCCACAATGACATTTACATCTCATCATGTACTTTTACACACTTCATCCCTGGATAAGTGTAGCATAGTTTCAGTACGAGTTAACCGCAACTGAATTTTCCCTTAAGCAAACACGGTTAAAAGTTATTGGAAACGTTTCGACAATACAGAAAATTTTCATTTATGCTAGCTAAACGTACAGCCGTAGTAATAAAAAAACCAGTATTAAACCAACTGCTAACGCTTAATCGACCCCCACGCCTGCCTCATAATTCGAGAACCAATGTCAGCTTAAAAGCTCATTGAAAGTGGCAAACATAATCAGAAGTTGTAAGTCATATCAAAGGAAGCCATCTTCAAGAAGAACACTTTATACCGGGTTTTGCGGTGAGTGCCAAAACCGCCAACAATTTCATCACCGACAATAATTGAAGTCGCACATAAATTATATGCTATCTGAAACCAATCAGTGTTCAATAAAATCCTGGAAGCTTAACCACAGAAAACCAGTACGAAATTGGTCAACTTATTAGCTTCCCAAACGGACTAAACCGCAGCAATATACAGTAAATATTATATCGATTTGCAAGATACGTTATACCTAACTAACCACTGTAAATTTGGTTCAATGTTAGGTCTCAGATTTAATGGCAGATCGAAATGTCGAAATTATAAAATGCTCACTAGGAAAAGATTACCCAAAACAATGTATTATTTCAAACAACTGTGTGCAATAAAACTTGTCTGTGCTGAATTAAACTAGAGAAAAAAAGATTATCTAGGCAGTCAAGGCAGAAAGAAGCAAAAGCAGAAGGAACAGACAAGAAAAAGTTTAGTCGATCAATCAAACAAGCCAGTTTTTTGCGCTACAATGCTTGTTAAAAAATTTATAAAACGGTTTGTTTATCCTCAACGCAAATAAGAGCTGGTTAATGGGTAATTGACGAGTACCGACGTTTCGGTTCGCCTCTCACGAGCTTACTTAAAGGCGGTCCGAGTTGATATCCGCACTTTGTTTTATGGCCTACAATTGTTTTGAAAATTGGAGCCGAAGATATGCCTTTATTCCATATTACTGCTTAAGTCAGTTTTCATTTCACTGGTACGACAAGTTTTGCTAATCCGCTCAGAGTTCGTATTTTTGTCTCTGTTGATATTTTCACAGGATCGATTAATTGAGCAGTTTTGATACGTGAAGTCAATTTCGTTCTTTAGCGATTGATCTGACATCGGATTGCATGCGAGAGACTAACTGAAAAGTAGAGAGAAATCTATCACCCGATTGACTTGTTTGCTGTCATATTGTACAAGCAAGGCGTTTTAATATATTTTTTAGTTTCCAGTATGAGCACAAAGCAGAAATGAAATAATCAATCTGCAGTGAGTGTTATTATGTAAGGGCACCTCAGAGCTTCCTTCTTCGTTTACAACTTTACATTAGCGCTACTAGAAGTAAAAGGCAGTACTCTTAAGGTCACGTGAAATCCAAAGAATTTACAGGAGAACGTTATTTTTACCGCGGTACAGTGAAAAAAAGTTGCTGGTAAATTTATAATACCGGGTCATTTTTTGTTATTTTATGATCCATGGCCAGTTTTAGAAAGCGATAACGAATTTAAGGAAAATGTTACTTGAAAATCAGAAACTACTTGCTGTTAAATTAATTTGGAATTTACTGAATTCGTCTAAGGTCAAAGGAGGTTAGTACTGGCCATGACCGCCTGCTGGGCAGTGATTCACTTATAGTAGTTGTCCATAAGTTTGTAATGGTCAGTAACAATTGAAGTAGGTCATGCTTTGGTTTTAAAAGGCGTCTATGTTGTTGTAGACGGAAGAGCAGCTCGATTCGGCGTTGGACTTGGTACGTCGCTTGCCGCCGCAGCATTGCGAGGCAAACTTGGCGCGGCTCATCGAGCTGCTTCCGGAACTGCAAGAAGACCTTCTTTCTTCCGTCGATCAGCCGCTGAAAGTCGGAATCGACAAGAAGCTCGGCAAAGAATATCTTCTCTGCGACTACAACCGCGATGGTGATTCATATAGGTAAGTTAGGCGTCGTCGTTTCGTCGTAGAATCTTTTCTTTGTGGGCCTAAAAAGTGTTCTGAAGTCGTCTTCACATTTTGCCGTAATTTGATCACATTTCCAAGCGTTGTTTCAGATCGCCTTGGAGCGGGCTGTACGACCCACCGTTGGAGGAAGGAGTGATGCCGAGTGAGAACTTGCGGAAGTTGGAAATCGCCTTAAATGCTGCTTTCGAACACTACAGGGACATGTGAGACAGACTCGTTTCCTCTGTATTTTGAATGCAGTTCTACACGCCCAAATTTTTAAACGTTTAGGTACTTCGAAGGAGGCGTCAGCTCTGCGTACCTGTGGCAACTGGAGCACGGCTTTGCGGGAGTAATTCTCTTAAAGAAGGTCGGCAGCGGATCTTCCATCATCAAGGGCTGTTGGGATTCTATTCACGTCATTGAAGTTCAGGTAACTATCGAAGTCGTTGGACTTCGATTTTGTTCTAATATGGTATGTCGATCGACTCGGCTCATTGTTATAAAGACATTGTAGTGTAGGATATATGTACCAGTCATCCGTCGTTCGACCGTTAATTTATTATTACTCCTCTTTCTTTCCGCTTCCCTCATCGTTCACTGACAGGGCGGTAAAGAAATGGTGATATACACAGATTTTTTTTCGATGATAAATTCGAACAGGAGCCATCTGTATTTGTTTGAGGGTTTGTTATCTGAATGGCAGTTCGGCTATTGGTTGAATTTGATGACTCCGGATTACTCGCAAAATCCTTAACTGGAAGCATTCCGAATTTTAATGTTTTGACCAAATTGCAGTCGCTTGGTTAGGTTTTGCATGCTTTTCTATTTGTTGTTGTTATATAAAATTTTATTAGAATTTTATTTCTGCAGAACTGTTTTATATATTTGTACTGAAAAGCGCAGCTTTGTAAATGGTTAATTTTC